GAATGATGACATTGTAACTAAGTTGCATCCAGTTGGTGTCATAACTAGATCCCAGAGATCAGACAGACAGTTCTTGTGCTTTTATTTTGCCTGTTGCTAGTGAGTTGTTGGGTAAAGATAGAACATTGTAAGTGGGTAACCTAGTCAAATCATCTTCATGCTTTCCTTGTGCCCTGGCTATATCATCACCCTGATCAGACAGTGTGGAAACTTAGAAGAAGAAAAGTCTAATCTTTTAACTGAAGTCTAGCAGTTTACCTGAAAGGGGGTTGTGTAAAAATCCTCCTGATGGGCCAGAGGTGATTCTGGATGTAAGTGAAACTCAGAAGGAGTTTGGTGATTTGTCTGCTGTGCCGAAGTAGGTTCTGGCCATAAATAAAGCTCAGAAAGAACCTGTTGCAGTGCAGGATATTGCAGAAGGAAAGGAATTTCTTGGTGAAGTCTTGAAAGTCTGTGAAAAGGAGTTGTTTCCATTGACCCTTAATGGGCCATTGTTGATAGTAAACAGTCTCTCTTTTACAGTCTCTGTGTTGGGGCCTAATGGGCAAAGTCTTTCAAATGTGTGTGAATCCACTGGCCTTCCTTCAGAAAGACCCAGTGTGGATAGCTTTGAAAAGATTTCAGATTAAACTCCCTAACAATTATGTCAACAGCCCTATAAGCTTAACCAGCTTGTTGGGGAGATGTTGGAACATGAATGTCTCCATATTGACTCTTTAAGTAAGCAGTCTGACTCAAGTACGGAGGAAAGATCGGTGACTGGTTTTTCAGAGCAGAACAAGGATGATCCCACAAGGATGCAGGGGAGAGCAGGCAAACTGTCGTCTTTAGATATTTTGAATATGACTTGTAGTCTTAGTGAACTGGACATCTGATTTCATATGGAAGCGGAGGTTGGTAATGGAAGGGCAAGAGAACCTTGAATCTAACATGCTAGTAAAAATGGATGGTATCTCTTTAAGATAGACTCCAGCCTTAGAATTGGTAAAGGTTGAGGCTCTGAAAACTGCTAAACAGTCTGTTGATGCAAATTACCTGACTGGGCGTGCGGGGGGGAAGAAACGGAAAGAGACGGAGACTTGCCTGTAGCGGTTAGCAAAAAAAGGACACTCAGCCAGCCAGTGGTTTCTATTAAGCAAAAGAGCTCAGATTTTGACCCTCCAGAACAAGGAGAAAGGAAAAAAGACTGTGCTAATGGAAGCCACAGGTTAACCCTAGAATACCCAAACCCCAAGGAAGTGGTTAAAATGAAACCCAAGGTCAAGAAAGAGCTACAAAGATTCAAAAAAGGACATTGTACATTTTTACAGTTCTTGGTATCAACAATGAGTTAGTTACAATCATTAGCAATAAGTTTTTATCACAAGTGTACATTTATAATTATTTTTGTCATGCCAAGTCTTTGGTTTAAACCAATCATTCTTTAGGTCAGCTTGTTCAAGGTGAATGGTCTTTTGGAAAAGCCCTTGAATATGTTAAGAGTGGTACATAAACCCTTATGATTATGCTGTTTGCTTCAACAAGAACACTGTTAAAAAGCCTAATAATGCATAGACACATTCCTAGAAGTTTCCACTGCAGAAAGACCACTACAAGCTTGAACTACTGTGCACAAAGGGAAACTGAGGTACAACACTTCACAGCCTTCATGGCTAAATGCCAGACTAAGTGCTCTCTGAAAAGCATTAATGGCTATGTCAAGTCAACACATAGACCAAACTATGGAATCACTAAAGTGTTTCACAAAGCCTGGACTAAGTTTTTAACTTGGGCCAAAGCATACCTCAATAATTTGGCATTACACAAGTCAACACAGCTCATATCAATGTTGGAAGGTCCTTAAAGTGTATCCAGGAGCTCTAATTTTGCCCTTCTGCACCAGTCTCACTTTGGGGTTGAGACACATGGCTAGAAAGGGTTAAACAAAATAACCCTCAAAAGACGTGGTGAGATAATGCTTGTGTTTTTACATATGTATGAGTAGGGTCGAAAATGTAATCAACAGTTCCTGTCTTTGCTGTATTCTGATAATCAGAGGTCAAAAGAACATCCTATTCATTTAAATTAATTGTAAATATAGGATCTCTCGGTATTCATCTCTTTGAGATGTACTGTGAATGGTGGAAGAACAAGCAAATAGCCTTATGTTAATTCTTATAGCTAAATGCCAGTGATGGACCTCCTTCAAAGTCATCCTAATTACCTTATTCCCCCTGAGGAATGCCAACTTGTCAAAAGACATGAAATTGTAGAAAAAAAGATCCTTGGGTCCAGATTCTGTCATCTCAGCTCTGCTTAGGCTTCATCAGGGGAAGTTTGAGTCGCAAGACTGAGGTCCTAGTTATCCTGGTACGCCCTGAATATTTGGACATTGGACGAAAACCTATGAACTAATTTCTAAAAGAACTCTTTGCAACTACAAAGATCACCATCTCTGCTATGAATCTGCACATAAATGAACTGAACTCATGTCTGTATGTATATTGATCTTTTAACCATACTCATTTTTAATAAATTTTAGTTTAGTTAATAAGAATTGGCTGTAGCGTGTATTTGCGTAAGATCTGGAATATTCAATAACCTGGGTGGTTATGTGCCTGATCTTTTGAGATTGGTAGAACTTTTATATGGATGAAATAAGATTTACAGAAATCATCATATTTGATGTGGATACCTGGATGGGGGCCTAAGGCTAGATCACTTTAAGGGAATGTGGTGTTTGGACTTCTGAGTAACCAGTAAGGTAATAAAGAAGCTATTTTGGTGAATCTGAGGATTGGAATAGCCACCAGCTTTTTGGTGATTGTCTGCCCCATTCTTTGGGGTTCACCCTAATTGAGTGACCACAGCTGGCTCCCCACTAGGGCCCCAGTCAGACTCCAAGTAACACCATTGAGTTCAGTGATGTTCTTCCGGATTTAGAAGAGAAAGAGCAGGAACATAGTTTCTCACCACATTGTAAGCCATTTCTGATTACCAGATCAACAGTGACCTTTAGAATAGGCCATGCCTAACAGATTTCTAGGCTCAAGCTTAGAGAAAGATCTCTATCTGTCCATGCTTTAGTGGAAGATTCTGTCAGGCCACAAAAGAACCTACCATCAAATGATCAGAGTCCGAAAGGCCAAAATTTGGTTTATAGTATTTGGCTGTAATAGCCGATTCAAAAACCAAAAACTAACAGCAACATTCTCCCCTTTGGTCAATATTTTAGGTCTATTGGGTTAATTTCTGCTGTGCAAGTCTGCAGTAGCTCTGCTGAAATTGGTAGAAAAACATGGTTGCTATCTCTATTGCACATTCTGCATATGGAATTCCTGTTCCATGTACCACACTATCTCTGCAACAAGTACATGATGTTTTAGATTTATATACCATCTTTCAATATACATATTTCCTAACAGCACCCCTCTGCATGCTACAATTGCACAGGAGCAGACTAAAAGGAAACTAGGCAAGAGACTCCAGGGCAAATCCCATGATTTTTCAAAAGATGTAACTATAATGTCCATGTAGAGCGGACAGGACCTTTGTTTTGAAGATCTTATCCAAATAGGCAAGAGATCCACTGAATTGCTTATGTGCAGAATATGGATGAGAAGTTACTTGGTCAAACTCAAAGACCGTATAATTCCATTGTAGTCACAACATTAAATACGATTTCATTAAATGCTCATTTTAAAACTGATGCTTCACACTAAAAATCCACATTCTAGCAGCTTTGGTATTAAAGCGAATCTTACATCTAAAAAGTCACTGTTTGAAATTCCAGTGAAGAATGTCTGCAAAGAAGTGCCAGCTATAGAAATTAATTCAAATTAGCCAATGTGCCCACAAAAAATTGGCTCATGGAGAAGGGATAGACTACATACAAGAAAGCAGCTGAGCTAGAAAGTCTGAATGCAGAAACTGATTTTTGGAAAAGTTTTTTTTTGGGGGGGTGAAAATTAAAGCAGGGTGATATATAATCTTATGTTTATTCACAATGCTTGTATCATGGAGGTCACAGATTGTGACTTGTCAGATCTCTGACATTTTCTTTGTCAGCCCATAGGGACCCCACCTCCCTCCCCTCTGCAGAACAGCTAGGGCTCTCATCCCACCACTTGGGCTTCAGTTGTCCTCCAAAGTGCCCCCCCACCCCTCATTCACAGACAGAGTTATGTGAATTTTTGTTTCTTGCCCGCGACTTACTAAAAATAATGGATAATCTTAACCTTAATCATGAGCTACTTTCATAGAATCAGTCTCTTGGAACTAGCAAGATATTCAAGGAAAATGTTACCCATGTGGACAAGATAAATAGCTACATAAAATAGACCCAAATGCAGAATTAGTCCACCTACCTGTGAAGTCTTGAGAAACCTGATGCAGGTGGTGTAAGATATACCTTAGATATTAGTAGGCGAGTTTTGCTACACAAAACAGGAATGATGTTGAATGTGCCTCTTATAACATGTGGTCTTTTCCTTCACTTTAGTGCAGAGAGCTCTGCTCACAGTGGAGAAAAGTTTTGGTTTCACTGCAAAAGGGAAGGAGGACATGCGTCCATGCAGGGGATCCAGGACCTTGTAAACCTAGCAGCACAGATCTACAGGAAGTCAGTAAATCTGAATATGGGGAGAGCTTTGGGAAGGGGAGTGAAGGCCATTCAGTGTGGTGATTGAGAGTCACTGGTCATTTTCCACTGTGGAAGGAGAGCATGCAAGAGATAGTGTCTACTGTACCCCCCAGAGAGTAGCAGCAAGGGATGCAAAATTACTCTACTACTGCTACTATGAGGCAAGAGGGGGAAGGATACCGTCCCTCCTGGCTGCTCAAACTGTGGGCTAGGACTAGGATTTTGTTTAAAATGTGGCTAAGAGAAGAAAAGGTAGGTTATAGGAGTTCGCAGTGTGTGTCATTCTACATGGCAGCAAATCCTGTTCTCTTGCTCCTTTAGAGAAAAGGAGACCTGCACAACTTGGTACTTTCTGCAATGATCCTTTGCATTAACTTACATCTCAAGCACTTTAGAAACTTCCTCTATAGTGATTTCTGCGTCTAGTTCTCCAAGAAAGTAACCAGCAGCTGCCTCCAGTGAACCTAGGAAAGGAAGAGTGCATTTGAGTATTTATTCAGTTCCAGCTGCAGGAATTTCAGGTAGGCAGAATATTATCCACAATAGAGTTTTACCATGAGTAGAAGAAAGAGTTCTACTCTTTACAAGAGTGCCATGTGATTTTTGTTAAGTGACCACAGGTATTTCAGTTTCACATCCCGTCTGACTTAGCACCTTCAGAGAATATTAGTAATTCAAACCACTCTTTTCTGCCACATGATTTTTTGGTGTGCAGTCTCCCATTCAAGGGGTGACCAGGCCCATCACTGCTGAACTCAGAAGCATAGATGTAATCACCACCTGACTTAACACAGCTGCATAAATTGGATTCTCTCATTTAGAGAGCAATGAGTTGGCATTATGTTTAAGAGATTATTACAAACACAGAGCTAAATTCTGTGGACAAAGCCAGAATTACACTGATGAAGTGAGCTGTGGCTCACGAAAGCTCATGCTCAAATAAATTGGTTAGTCTCTAAGGTGCCACAAGTACTCCTTTTCTTTTTGCGAATACAGACTAACACGGCTGTTCCTCTGAAACTGATTTTAATGCAGCTACTCTAGCTGGTAACCAAGAGCAAAGTGTAACCCAAATGGTAACTTGATTTTGTTTTCAAAGGGTCAGGGAGCTGGGAAGTGGGGGGGGGGAAGGAAGGAATCCGACCTAAGCACACTTTTTAAAAGAGCCTGCACCGCGAGACTGCCATTGGGAAGTATGGGTTTTAATGTTCTCCGTTGTGCCTGTTTTAAACCAGTGTAATTCTGTTGACTTCTGTGAACCTCTGATTTACAATATTAAACAGGCAGAATCAGGCTCTATTTTCACATTGCTTTTGAGACTATTTAGGAAGACAACATTTGGCCTGATTTACTATTGCCCTGCCCCCTGCTGTAGTCATATGTTAGTGCTGTGTGCCTGTAACACCATCAAATCAGAACATTGCTTATGTCACTGCTAAAAAATGGCGATTGTGCACCCACTCAGACCTTGGTGTGTAGCTAGACCTGTCAGTATGCACCATGTCTAAAGATTATGCTGTCTACAAGTCTAGCAGCTACCTTGTTCAGGACAGACTATTACAAAGGAGATATCATGCAGATTTTACTTTTATTTTCTTAATGTAAACTAAAAGCCATTTAAGTCTGAAAGTATCTGTATGAGCAAACGTGCTCTCTGTGCTGAGCACTTTCTGCCAAGGCTTGTAAGCACCTAGCCACTAACAACTGATCTGACACTAGCAACTCATTTCATAGGACTGACTTCAGCAGCCTAACTGAAAGGTGTCACCATACAACTCAGACAGGCTAGATTTAAGCCAGCAACTTGGAAGGGAGAGCTCTAATCCATTAGCAATCTCCTGAACAGGTCTCGGATATTACTCTGCATACATATAGCACCTCAGTTTGAAAAATGCATTATATAATTTGTCTAAATACATGGAGGTACTTTCTATAATCACTGTACTTAACTCCTCGCTCAGGGTTGTGTGTCCCTACTGTACATTGTATTTGGGCACATGGCTCCCTTTGATCTTAAAGAAAGCAGCCCATGATCCCATTCTCCAAGAGTGCTTGGAAAGTTGGAGAGAATGTTGCAGAGGACACAACATGCAGGAGGTAACTTAGAGCTCGAGACATGCAATTTTATATTGAAGACTTACTACTTTAAGAGATTTCTCATCATGTATTAAGATGAACATTTCTATCAGCAGACAGCCTTCCTCTCTGTCAAGGAATTGCTCAGAGTTAAACAAATCCTGAAAGTTAATTTTAGGACCAGTTTTTAGTATAATTTCTTATTTAGAAGAGGGTATGGGATATTTTCCATAGGGAAGCCACAAGTCTGGAACAATACATAATCAAATATTTGAAATACAGGTCTTAAAAGCTTGTATTCTGGTTTACTTTTTATCAGCCTGCTATCACCATAAGAAGAGTAACAAACAAAAAGTTAAAAGGGAACTAGCCACTGCAAACAGATTTACCAAGTACAAGATACAGAGTACAATGCTGCCATCTACTGGTGTTTTGCCATTTGGTCTGTCATTGGAGGTATTTATTGGCTTCAATTTTGATCTTGCAGAAACTAGATTTTAAAGGTTTTAATGATTTTTGGAATCATGTTTTCATGCAAAGCACAAAAATCACGATCATATGCAGTAGTTCTGACACATGAATGGTTAAGTTGTTGTGAAGTCAGTATTGATTAGGATTTTACATTTATAGAGTTATTTATAACAATGCATGTCTAAATATTAAATGTTCTCAGGAACTAGTGGCTTAAAGCATTCCTTCTGCCTGGAATATCGGCAGGAGTAGGCCCCAGGATCCTGATTTGTGATGTTTCACCCTAACTGGTTAGGTAGCCACCTTACAGCGAGCTATGATTTTGCCACCAAACCCCATGGATTCCCCTAGATGCACACAGATCTCAAGTACCACCTGCAGGAAGGCCCTGTACTCTGGACACTGCCCATGTTCCCTGGCACATGCTTTCACTGGGCCTCCTTAAGTTTTAATAGGACAGATAATGCAGCGTAATACAGATGAGTGAGTGGCAAGATGCATGCTTGCCCTCTTCCTTTCTCAGCTCCCACCTCATTGGTGGAGGATTTGGCATGTGTGATTATATACAGCATTATTCAAATAATTAAGCCAACTCTTTCCAGTATTAAAAAACCACACACATTCACTTAATGTGAGTTAGTCATGACCTAAATAGCCCAGCTATTCCTGTCCTTGCTCCGTTCCCAGATTAACACAAGTATTCTGTCCACTCAAGTCGCCTACTCTATAACAGGATACATGACTTTAGGCAATTCTATTAGTACAGAGATGGGCTTAAATTATGTTCCAAACCCCACAAATTCTGGATCTAGAGTCCAAGTTTTGACTTGGACTCCCATCTAATTTTGGAGATCAATGTTCCTGTTATAGTAGAGATTACAGCCTTCTTCTCACTCAGACTTGGAGCACAAGATGTTTTGAATATGAGCAGCATGAATATATATTGGTCATCTGTAGAAGATTCTCCCCTTCAGCTAAGTCAGTGGTGTATGTTGCCAATAAAGCCATGTGCCAGTGCTGTACAATTCTTTATCTGTAATGGCAGCCAGCCATGATATCAAAAGTTCCTACCAGTACAAAGAACACAGCAGCTTCATAAGAGTTAGGAAGCCTATATGTGGTCAAGATAAAACAAGAGCCTGCAACAGCACTGGATCCTTAGAAAGAGGAGAGTCAGCAACATTACAGTGGAGCTCTCTTTTTTTGGAAGGTGTATTTGAATAGAAGAGTTTTAAAGCAAGGGGACCAGATATTGATCTGGTTTTCCTCCATTAACGCCACTGAAGTTACTCCCAGATTTACACCAATGCAAGGATGTCAGGATCCGAGTCAGTTCGCCATGTCTGACTTACTATACAAAAGTCACTCTGATGCGTTACCAGATGAAGTGCCAAGCATCACGGACCTTATTATCCAGCACCTTGCACTTGACACCAGTGTAAGTAACTGAACAAAGCAAGCACAGGGTGGGTGTAAAATACTACTGGAAGAGTAGTAGTTTACACCTACTTTACATAGGTGCAAGTGCCTTAACAAGCCAGTGGAGATTCTGGTCCCTTCTATATACTTGTACACCAAATTAGCAATGTCACAGAGGCACTAACTTTAAAATAGGCTGTATAGCTGCTGGTATCTAGACATATGAAGGCAAACATTTTACTAACTATCCTGAGGCCAGATTAAACATCAGTTATACCACTGTTAATCCAGAGTAACTCCAAATGAGTCACTCTGGATTCATGTTGCATGATTTACATTGATAATGCCTATTTATCAGGAGGTTTCCATAATGCTTTATGAACTATATACCTAATTTCCGGTGTAACAACTCCTCCTGTGGAATCAGTGCATTTCTAGAGTAAAGCATGCTTATAGCTATGGCATTATTCATAAATCACTTTCTCTCTCTGTATTTTCAAAACACCAAGCAAGGTCTTGGTAAACACATTAGCCCTTAATTTCCATTGTCTGAAAGAAAAAAAAGTGTTAAAATAGGGCTGTCAATTAACCACCATTAACTTAAAACAAATTAAAAATTGTAATTAATTGCAGTTTTAATTACACTAACAGAACAAGTTATATTGATTTCAATTACAACAGAATACAAGGTATACAGTGCTCACTTTATTTTTCTTATTACTACAAATATTTTCAGTGTAGAAAAATAGTATTTTTCAGTTCACCTCATACAAGTACTGTAGTGTGATCTCTTTATGGTGAGAGTGCAACTTACAAAATGTAGAATTTTTTTCAAAACTGCACTCAAACAAAACAATGTAAAATGAGACTACAAGTCCACTCAGTCCTACTTCTTGTTCAGCCAATTGCTAAGACAAACAAGTTTGTTTACATATACAGGAGAATGCTTCCTGCTTCTTATTTACGAGATCACCAGAAAGTGAGAACAGGCATTTACATGGTACTTTTGTAGCAGGTGTTGCAAGATACTTTACATGCCAGATATGCTAAACGTTCATGCACCCCTTCATGCTTTGGCCACCATTCCATAGGACATGCTTCCATGCGGATGATGCTTGTTTAATGAATGGTATTTTTTTTTTTAATTTATGCCTAATTCCTTGGGGGAGAGTTGTAGGTCTCCTGCTCCATGGTTTTACCCACATTCTGCCATATATTTTGTGTTATATGTTGGTCAATCTAAGAAAAAAAATACAAAGAAAATACCAATGTGAGCTTTCTAAAGATAGCTACAGCACTCAACCCAAGGTTTAAGAATCTGAAGTGCCTTCAAAATCTGAGAGGAATAAGGTGTGGAACATGCTGCCAGAAGTCTTAAGAGCAACACAGCAATTCGGAAACTACAGAACCCAAACCACAAAAAAAAAAAAAAAAAGGGAAAAAAAAAATCAACCTTCTGTTGGTGGTATCCAGCTCAGATAAAGAAAATGAATATGCA